AAAATAACGTTTTTAAAGCAAAACAAATACCAGCAATTAAATAAATGCAAGATGGAGAATTTTAATGCCATATTGTGGAAGATTCAAGGCAACCTAACAGCATCTCCATGGAAACAAGGTGGGGAAAAGTGACATACTGAATCTTTAAAGCTCCTCAACATGTTTTAAAATGGTGACTTCAGACAGAATCCTGTTTAAAACATGAATTGTAAATGTTATTGCAACGCTTGAAAGAAAAATCTCCTATTAGATGTTTTTCCATTTTTTTCACAGATCACTAGATAAACCGGTAAACCAAACTCATCACCACTGAAGCTGACTTACTGAGCTCCTTGAGTTAAATGGCAGACATGAGATAAGTATTTTACGATGCTCTGACCCGGCATCTACAAGCAGTATAGACGGGAGCATCTGGGAGTCAGTCATGCAACAAAAACAGACACAGTATTGGCGCAAAAAACATGGTGTTTGTGTACGTGTGTGTACGTGTGTGTTTGTATGTACGTATGTAGGGGAGAGCATAGGGGGAATAAATGGTTAAGTCCACGTGGGTACATGATGTGACCATATGCTTCATGCGCTTGTGACTCCGCTCATGCTGAACGGCGCACACCTACACCGAGCGCGCCTCAGCCAAGACCAAGTCACAGGCATTTCACGCTCCTCTAGAGAAGCCCTATCAGTCTTACAATTACAGCTCAAGGAAAAGAAGCCGTCGTGGTAATCTAAATAGTCCCAATTAGCGAATCATGCGTGGCTGCAATTAGTTTAGTAATACAGGATAATGCAATATTCTGTCTGCACGGGGGCTTGATTTGTAGTTGTCTCGTGCTACACCTCCAAACATGTTCGGAAATGCATGTGATTAGTTGTTTGGTTTCATCTAGGGTTGTCAAAAGAATCAAAAATCAGATACTAATAGATGCTAAAACTAGTATCAAAACTAGATACTCGCTTGAGCAGGTAATGAGACTAAAAAAGTCACATTCACAGAACAGAAATTAACCTTGAATAGCTTTAGAATGAACTTGAGCTTTATCAGAACAAGTATAAGAACATAATATACAATAATAAGAATAATAATAAGAAGAAAGTACTATGATTTATTAATGAAAATCACATTCTATTGTCTAAATAAGTAGTGTTTTTTATTATTGTGGTATTGGAATTGACATTTAGTATTGTGTCTATTCCTTAGTGTCATTGTGACATAAGGCTGAGCGATTAATCGAATTTTGATCACGATTTTGATTTGTGTGTCAAACGATCTCCAAACTCATATGATCCAGTTGAAATGATTTAAAGCTTAATGTTTATTTTGGGATATTTTTTATATAAATAAATATACTTATTTCATTTTTTAAATATAGAGACTGTAGACCAGCTGGATATATAGTTTATTTTGGATACATTTGTTTTTCTGTGCCTTTATTTAATTTTCAAAGTATATTTTATTCATTTTATGTTTTAACTGCTCTAAAGTACATACTTGTAGCCTGTATTTATTTTCAATTTGAAATTTTTGCGTAAATTATCAATAAGTGTTTTTTCGAGAAAGAGAAATGCTGAAAAAATGTGTTGTTTAATTAAAAAAATAATCATGATTTCAGTACTGACCAAAATCATCGTGATAATGATTTTTTTTCCATAATCGAGCAGCTCTATTGTGACACTAGTTTCTTACCTCAAAATGTTGGATAAGCCTGGATCAAACTGTGTAATGTGTGAGTCTTTCATGACTTTGAAGAGGTTAAAGGCCCACTGTAACTTTTCTGTGAGCCATCTGCTCGTCTCCGTGGAGATGTTATTGCATAGCCTGGAATGTTCTGCATTCATATTACATTTATTCAATTACAGGAAAAAAAAACCATTCCTTGAAAGACATGCATTCTTACTCTGAGCTGCTTGTCTGCTTGATAAGTTTAATGCCGTACTGTGGAACATTTCAGACAAAGCAACAACATTACAGTCAGAAAAACAAGCAGATGGCAAACAGCAGCCCCAAAACATTTCATATTTCACCTTTAACTCTCATAACAACCTCATTGTGTCTCAGAATGAATGCAATAAGATAATTCTCCACATTTCTTCACATTTCTTCACAGCTATTGTTTATCTGCATTCATCGCCAATGCTCATTTACTCTGTCAAGTCTATAGTGACACTTTTAAAACACAAGAGAACACTATCTGGCATCCCAAGCTATTATTAGCCCGGTGTTTCTTTGTAGTCTTTATGTAACTCCCATCTAACTTACCTCCAGGACACCCAATGATCTGCTCCGTGCTCGCGCTCTGTAGCTCTGGGTGTGTGAGAAAGCCGCTCTAAGACGACTGAAGCAATAGTACTTTCATTCAGTTTTCAATTATTGTTTGAGAATTCATTTAACTAGCAAAGTCTCAGAGCAATTCAGAATCTATTTGTTTATGTCATTAGTAGAAGGTCAATAAAAAGGACGTTTACCTGTTTCCTTGAATCAAACCCAAGAACTTGTTGCTATCAGTGTGAACTGCTGTGCCACCGAGCTGAAGACATTGAAATATTTCCTCAAACAATTCCCTGAAGTCTTTTGAATGTAATAAGCAGTTCTTTTCAAACCAATTAATCTGCCTGAAATGTAACAAAAGGGGAATTAATTTCAGAAAATGTTGTTTTTTTTAGAACAGCGCCTGAACAGAAGATTTTTAATTGACACGACTTGGCAACACATTTCAAAAGCTTTTCATTTTGAAATAAGGTGAAAGATTATTATTATTATTTTTTTGTCAACAACTTAAAGGTGTACTAAGTAACTTTTCTGATGGAGGGTCTGCTACCTGCTTGGCTCAGTGGAGATGTTATATCTTTGTCTTAGTTTGATTTAAATGCAGTTTTATTTAATTTTATTGCTCAGATATTCCTAGAAAACATGCTTTAATTTCCCATGGAGATAGAAGTACAATATATCTGTGAAGTAAATATAAACGATAAATGATAATATTGAAGTAAAATAGCAGAATTAAAGCCGCTTGTGGCGATGATGGCCCTCGCGACCGCCCTGGCACACCACCCTCTTCCCGCCACCCGCCCAGACCGACAGCTCGTCCACCAGAAAAATTATATAGTGTACCTTTAATATTGCATAATGTGACTGATCCTAGAGACAAACGATAGAATCTTGGCCATAGGTCACGTGACTATTATGGTCATTATAGAGCACTGTCAGACGAAGACTGTGCATAAAAACACACCCTCCACCAGAAAAGTTAGGTAGTGTGACATTAAAATTCTAAACAGTGAATGATTCTAGATGCAAAACTGTAAAAACTAGGGCTTAGGTCTCACTGACTTTTAAGATCAGGAGCATGTCAGTGAATGTTCTGAAAAGTTTCACGAATCCCCGTAGTAAATTCTGTGCATTCCTATAGGTGTTGTGTTTGACATATCAGTGGAATCAGGGTCATGCAGTACCGTATTTTCCGGCGCTCTGGATTATAAGGCATTAAATGGTCTATTTTCGAACTTCTTTCACAAATAAATCCCACCGGACTTTAAATAAAACACAACAGTTCGATGGGTCAGTGGGACTTTGTTTGTCGCGTTCACGGTGACTCTGGGCTTTGTTCAGTTGTGGCGTGTAGGGAGGGTGCTGTCTGGGACCAACGGATTGTCGGCGTGTTCGCAGTGACTCAGTTGTTCAGTCGTGTCTAGAAGTGGCACATTGCACTCGCTTTTTCGGTTCGTTCCTCCGTTCCGTTCCTCGTCGGCGTGGAGTGATGAGTGTGTCTGTGGGTGTTTTTGGCTGTGCGGTCGCTGTCTGCTCCGTGTGTGTTTGCGTGCGCTGCTGGTGGTGCGGCTTTGTAGTTTACTGAAGTCGTGCTGGGACACCAGAGTGGATTCATGTATAGGGCGCTCTGGATTGCGGGGCATGCAGTCATTTTTTGATGGGGTTGGCGGCTTATGAGCGCGCCCAATAGCCTGGAAAATATGGTACATACCCGAATACCCAGTTGCGGGAATTTTCATCGATGTTCAGGGGGCCAAAAATGCGATTATATGTGGGGAAAAAAGAATAATAATATGTAAGAAACCCTCGAAGAACAATAGCCCTGACCAGTTACTTCATTACTGGATTGGGCCAATTATCTCCCCCAAAACGATTCTAAATGTACAATATTGTTAAAAAACCAAATTGCAATACATAAATAACACTTATATAGTTAGTTTGAAGAAAAATATCCCACATTTTTCCCACTAGTGCAAGGTAAATGTACCAACGATAAAAATTGTTCCATCTGTCTTGTATTGAATGAAGTCCATATAGTATTTACTGTGACAGACAAACCAAAAACATCTCCATGAAGACAAAAGGTGGTGACCATAAAAATTACATAGACTAAGCTTTAAAGAGTAATATTATTTTTTACCCAAAATAAGTTCTTAGTTCAAATTGTGCTTTAAAAATCTTAATCGTTTTCCTTAAAATGTTATATGAAGGCCAGACAGGTTATAATTATGAATAGTGTGTATGTATTTCCTTTTGTTTGACTTCCTTACCCCCTACGAAGCAAGAACTAACCCAATTAGAACATGTTATGACACATTCCCTCCGGATTTGTGCCTGACTTTTACCAGCCTTTCCCAATTACACAAAACAGTTGGTTCACTTTCCTCTTTCCTGTTTATCCAAATGAAAATCTCCTGAATCGTGACCGCTCAGCAGACTAGTTAGTCATCTCTTCTTTCTCTGCCGCACCTCTGCTGCTTCCTCTCAAGGCCATCTCCCACCGCACCAGGTTTATGTGCTTAATAACTCCGCAGAGACAAGGAGCCAACGTGTGCTTTTGCTTTGAACGCCTGTACCGAAAGAGCCTTACATTAACTATTTATTTCTCCCGTCTCTTCTCCCTTCCCACCATCTTGTCCACACTTCAAACTCCACTCCTCACCCCCCCGATCTCACCCCTTTTTCATCCGATATCGCTCCGTCTTTCAACCCATCTCTGTTCTCGTCTCCGCAGGGGATGAAGAGGTTCGGCGCGATGTCCCACAGCACCAAGCGAAGCAAGAGGAGGAGCAGAAGAGGGTACTGCAGGATCCTACTACTATGCTGGGCCATCCTGGTGGTACTACTCGTCATGGCCCACCCAGCGGCCGCCCAGAAACGCACGGGTTCCGAAAAAGTCCCCGTCCTGAACATTGCCGTGATCCTCGGCCGCACGCGCTACATCTCCGACCGGGATATCCGAGCGTTGTGGAGCAAAGAGGACCCCATCGACGTCAACGTGGTGACTCTGCTGGTGAACGAGACCGACCCGAAGAGCATCATCACCCACATGTGCGACCTCATGTCCGGGACTAAGATACACGGCGTGGTCTTCGGCGACGGCACGGATCAGGAGGCGGTGGCGCAGATTTTGGATTTTATTTCCTCGCAAACGCTCATCCCCATCCTGGGCATCCACGGTGGGTCCTCGATGATCATGGCAGAAAAGGTAAGTCCATAAAAAAATTAATAAATAAGACTGTTGCGTGAAGAGATTGATACTTTGCGGTGGCTTTGGAGGGGTTCGGCATATGTCTGTGGCACAATTTTCAGCTGTTACCATGGAAACACAATGCACACATTAGCAAACTGTTTTGGTGTTTGGGTTGAGAAATAGTTGAGAATAACTAACTGAAAAAACAAACAAACAAAAAAAACGTTTGACTGTAAATAGGAAAGAGCAACAAAGGGGGCACGATGTGTAGATTTATTTTCTCTTTCATTCATCAGTGGAATACAATGATGGCTGTAAAGTCACATGGTTGTAGTGAGAGTTACGTCCAGGAAATTCTGCAGAGGTTGTTCATTTTTATAGAAATGAGTGGGTTATTTGCTTGTGCCTGTGCTCAAGTATGACTTATCTGAGGAAAATTTTCACATTTAATTTCTTTGAGTTAAAACACTCCATTGGAAATATTTAGGACAATACCTTTTTTTTTTCAGCACAGGTTCTACAGTTTCTCTAATTATTGTTGCCTGGAACTTGTTTAATCAGCTCACCTGACATACTTCCAATTAAAGCTACGTTCAGACTGCAGGGCTTAAGGCTCAATTCGGATTTTTTGTGCAATTGGATTTTTTTGCGAGATCGTTCACATTTCCAATTAAATGCGACTTGTATGTGATCTCCAGTGTGAATTTTAAACGCCCCCAAAGTGTCCCGCGTTTACGGAAGTTGCGTAAACATGGATGCGAGCATTGAGCACCTGGTGATTTTAAAGTTGTTGTACCAGAACCAGAACATGTACAGCTTATTTGTTTTAAGGAGAAGATTTAGAAGGAGAAGGATGAGATTTTTGGCCATGGCATTTTGTGGGGTAGTGGCAGTGGCAGCAACGTAGAAAGGAACGAGTGGGTGCGGAGTCGTAGCCAAGACTGGTGGGATTGCGATGTGCCTCGCTGCTTCACTGACACGGAGTTCATACACAATTTTCGTATGACGAGAAGAACATTTCTGTACATTTGTGACATGTAGGTGGGATGAATGCAACCTGGCCGTTCAAACTGAAGTCGCATGTCAAAAGATCGGATATGTATCGGTTTTAGGAGCACATATCCAAGTGGCCTGGGTCGCATTTGAAAAAATCGGATCTGTATCGTTCAGACCGTCATTAAAAAATCAGATACAGGTCGCATAGGGGCGAAAAAATTGGATTTGGGTCACTTCAGGCTGCAGTCTGAACGTAGCCAAAGTAATTTCTTTGTCTCTGTGATCAGATTGTGTTAAAACAAGCGTCTAAAATCTATCTTGAATAACAGAGCTTCAGACAGATCAGTGCCTCCAGTTTGCTTCACCCCCCCAATCAGCCGCAAAGTATCAATGAACAAACAGTTGACTGGCGTGTGTTTTGGCATTGAGCTGCCTTGGCCTCGTACCAGAGCGAGTGTTGCATGGATGTACAGAGTGTAATTTGTTGGTTTTTCGGAGCGCGGCCCGAAATTCTGGTGTACCATCTGTGCTGAACCGCAAACCTGTGAAAACGAACACAAAGCACACACTAACCTGTCAGCCCCGAAACGCTTTTGGCTGGCACGCTCCGTTTTGCACATTCAAAAATCCACCGTTATCACCGTAGCAGATTGAAAGGAAGCTCGGACATTTGGCTGTATCTCGGACACATCAGTGCTATGGCTTGTCGGCGAGGCTGCAGGGGAGGTGTTAGGAGATGGAATAATCATTTGCATACAAGAGATAGCCTCAAGGGAGAGGTGCGAGAAAGCAGGAGACGTAGGTGGCTCGCTGGAACACTTTGTGCAGGATTCCCTCACACCAGCCGCTATGGAGTCCCTCATTGGTTCTCACCTTCGAACGGGCAATACCGGCCGCCTGCCAATCAACTTTTTGGGCTGTGAACACAAGCATATAAACGGCAATGTGAATTTCTGACACAATGGCTCCCCTGTTATGCTTATGTTGTGATATGGCAAGCTTTTAAAGTGCATATGCCAGGTTAGACTTAGACAAACTTTATTGATCCACAAGGGAAATTATTTGGACACAGTAGCTCATAAAATATAATAACAAATCGCAAAAATATAAATAGGAATAATTAGGGATGTAACAATATCCAAATCCCTCGGTACGATATTGTCACGATTTATTTATTGCGATATTTTGGAGAGGCTGATATAACTGCAGATAGGACACTTTTTTGCTTTTAAAATACCTTGACAATATTTTGGTGTGAATTATTTCCATCATAATCCCAAGAATTCAAGTAAAAAACATATCTCTTCAGGTTGTCTGCACTGAAATGAATCATGGGATATGTAGTTTCCAATGTTCATAAGCTTTTGCTCCTATAAAACCATGTATTTAAGCAAAGGAACTTGTAATTCGGTATATTGTGACAGCCCACGATATTATTGTGAGATTTTTGATGTATGATATCACAATATTTTGGTTATTGTTACATCCCTACTTATAATAAATTCAAAATAAGTAGTAAGTAGTAAAGTAAATAGCTAGGTTTTCTAATTATTATTGATTATTGTTTAGTTTGTAGTGCATGTGTTCAATATTTATCATAGTTTTACATCAGTTATGTGGCAAGTTTGTGGGAAAAAAAAGAAGAAAAGTACCAAAATACAAGAATTAGAGGTGAGTTCTACTGATAATTCCATCCAAATTACAGAAACAATTGACACAAAAGTAACACCAATTCTTACTGGCATATTAAACATTTAAAGGTGCACTGTGTAACTTTTTTGTTTGGAGATCTGTCAGCCTTCAAATGTTCCACAGTATGACATTAAACAGCTCTACTTTACATTTATTCAATTACATAGTTTTATAGTTCAAAAATATACCTAAAAACAGACATTCTTACAGTGAGGAGGGTTGCCTCTCCACAGATCTGACTTGTAACTTGGTCTGGTTTGATCTCCTTAAAGCTTGAAAGGTTTAATATCATACTGTGGAACATTCTGGACCCTCCACCAAGAAAGTTGCACAGTGCACCTTCAACAAAATAAAGGTGTTGTCATTTATTTTGTCTCGGTCTAATCGTCACTATTGTGTATTTTATTAAAAACATGTCCATTGTTAAGCCTATGGTTGCTAGGAAACAGTTATGGAAATACCTCTGTTATGTCTCATGTGCTGGGCATGTCCAACTAGGAAATAAAACTATATACCTCACAGAATTTAAGAGATTTTTTTAAAGTAAACTCTTAAATATAATTGTGTTTTACCATGTTTTAGTAAAGTGAGTAGTCAGACCTGTCATATGCACTGTAAGCGTCCTTAAGAAGCTGCATATCGTATCCGTGTGTCTTTACTAAGCCCTTTTATGTAAGCTAAGGAAATGAGGTCAGCTGTGAGAGGTGTGGTTTATTTCTTGCCATTGTCAAAATAATACTTCCAGTAGACTTACACATAGCCTACTTTCTCCTCTAGTGCAAAGAAACATCTTATTTTAAACCAATTGTCTCGCAAAATATGAAATGTTTCTAACTGGGATCATTCCTCTAGTGATGTCGGACTGCAGCTTTGGTTATTTGGATAATGGATTAGTCTAGTGTTGATTCTTTCACTTAATCGATTAGTTGTTAGGTTTCGAAAGGCCTGTGAATTTGACATTTTTACTAAATTTGACCTGAAAAAATGTTCCTTGTGTCATTTCGTTAAGTAATTCTTTGCTTAAATCATAAAACCAGTTTTCTTGGCACACGTTTTAGAGTCCAGAAGTGCTTTTTCTCTTACTAAATTAGTTGACGCTTTTCTCAATAACCGTTTCTTTGCATTTAATCGATAGATCTATTATACAGTATGTTCTGGAAGATTGTACAAAATGTATTTCTTCCTGCGTATGGTCAAGTTGAACCTATGGAACCGTTATTTGTTTGCACTTAATATAGAACTGTTGCTCCGGTAATGATTTATCGATTCAGCTCAAGAGTCAAGAAAGATTGCAGGAAAGAGTAGAAGAAGAAGAAGAAGAAGAGAAGAGAGGGACGGAGGGAGGGAGGGGCAGGCTGAGGAGGTCTGATAATCCCTGCGTTTGACCAGAGGAGAGGCTAGCGAGCCGGGGGAATTACCCAGTGTCCTGATTGGCACCTGCTGGAGGAGAGAGTCATTGAAACGGCAGTCACAGAGCTCTCGACGTCGCATCTGAAGAGAGCCGGGGGACGATGATCCACTCCACGGTGATCAGACCCTCCAATTTGGCTTCTCTTGTTTTGCCTGCAGGGCCCATGGGACACTGGCAAAACACGAGCAGTTGCAGATAGGGCGCGCATCTTTAGCAAAGTGTGGGTAAATACGCAAGAGTGTGAACTTGTCCAGAGATGAAAATGAAAATTGTCTCTCCACTTGTGCTTGTGTGGAGGGTTTCTTAGTTAAATAGATACGTGAAAACAGCACCCCTCATTTAGACTGCAGATGTTTTTCAGTGTTTAGTTGCACCTCAGGTATAATTGTGTGTAGAGAAGTATTTATCCCATTGCGCGGACTCAAATCTTAAATTTAGGGATTTCAATTATTAAAAAAACTGCCAAAATCAACTTATTTTTGGACATTCAACAAAACGTGGAAAGAGCCAGGTTAAAATGTGTTGTTTCTTGTTGGACATATTAGATGCTAAAGATATACAAATATTATATTATGGATTATGGATATGTTATTTAGTATTTGAGTAAACCAGATTTCATAAACTTAAATTTTGTCCCATTTTTTAAATTAAAACTTTAACAAATCAGGTTTGAAACTCTGTATGTTTTGTCAAAATCTTGTGAAATACAAAAGTGGAATGTTTGGTGTATGTAGGTGCTACTTTAAATGGTGATCTTTGGGGAGAAATACGCTTTTGAGAAAATGGTCTTTGAAGTTACAGTGTCCCGTATAACTTAAAGACTGCAGGTTGATTAAATTAAATATTAAAATATCTTTCCTAAACGCTTGCATGTTGAGAGACCAAAGTGACCAAAAAAAACCCATCTCTCCCCATG